CGGGTGGCTGGTGGTAGCGAAAAGTGGGTGATGGTAGCGAGTGGGTGGCGAGTGGGTGGTGGCTGGTGGGTGGCTGGCGAGTCGTGTGGCAGGTGGGTGGTAGGTGGTGGTGGAGGAAGACAGTGGTGGAAAATGGTGGCGGGTGGTGGCTAGTGTTGGGTGGAAAAAAAAAAAAAAACTGAAAACTCAAAACGAAAACACATTTTTTGTATTTACATTTTTTTATCAAATTTATGAACTGAGACCACCGATTTATAAATCAAAAATTTACCAAACAAGTTTTTATTTGATTTTTTAAAATTTTTATAAATATAAACAGAAAATTAAAAACGTAAGGGTTGCCAAACGGTACCTTAACAGTTGTATTTTAATAAGTTAAAAAAGTGGTTGATAAAACTTTCTTAGTTTTCGGCTTATTTGTTCAGCCCAAAAATCAATTTTTTTTTTTCTTATTTAGAAGTTTTCCTACGGAGTATAAACCGCTAAAACTTATTGTTACAATAATTAATCATTCATGTGTTTAATTCAAAACATTGTTACTTAGACGCTACTCTATAATTTTGTCGGGTTCTTTCGTCCATCTGTTTGGAAAACGATAGAGGCATCACATTTATCACCGTATTTAATGTACAAATGTTAGACCTTAATGCTGTGTTTAGTTGGGGGATTTAGAAAGGAAAAAGAAAAAAGTGTGTGAAATTAGGTGAAATGTAGGTATATTTTATTTATATTTCAGCTAACTTTTTCTTTTTTCTTTCTAAATCCATTCTTAGATCCCTCAACCAAACACAATGTAAAATTTTTTTACACAACACTTGTATAAGTGTGAGATTTACATCATATGCATCTAGCATCATTAATCTGTTTTCTATTTGAAGGGTGGAGATATGGTTCTTAAAACAGTAGGACAAGTTTGGTAGCTTTAATCATTCCTATTTAAACAAGTGTGGCAATCCTTATCATCTGTTGACAATCTTTTTATGTTTTACTTTTGCCCTTTTTGATAACTCCAACATTAATTCAATGAAAAGGGACTGAGTGGAACATGTTATTCTTGTGGAACTCTTTAAATTAGTTTTGAACCGAGACGCTATTAGTTCTTCTAAAGCAGTGATTGATAGGTAGTCTTTTTATCTTCAATTTCTTTCCCAAAAGCAACAAAATGGAAACATTGAAAATAGTACATTTGTCCTTTTTCAACCAAAAAGTTTTGGATAAATTACAAACTTTGTTTAAAGTTTGTTTAAAATATAGTTTAACTCTGTAATTTTAAAAATTATAAATAACTTTTTATTAGAATTTTTTATTTAATAGAAAAAATAAAATTCTTAATTATTTTTTTATACAGTAATAAAATGATCTAAATTATTAACTGAAATATATTTATGATAACATTAAAAAATGTTAATTGACTTCATTATTTATCAATAAAGGGGATAATTTAAAACTTAAAGGGACGTGATGTAATTTTCAGAACCACAATGAGCAATCTGTATGTTAAGCAAACTTTAGGGGGCTGTAATTGTAATTTACCAAGAAGTTTTTTTGGGGGGTAAATTACAGATATACTCTCTGAAGTTTGTTTAAAATATGATTTGTCTCTTGTGATTATGAAAATTACATCACGCCCTTTTAAAATTTTAATTTTATAACAAATGAGCAATTTTATTAATAAATTATTAAGCCAATTAATAATTTTTAATGATATTATAAATTTATTTCAATTAATATTTGAGATAATTTTATCATTGTATATGAGAGCAGTTAGAAATTTTATTTTTTTTATTAATTTTTTTAATAAAATATTCAGGTAAGAGGGTATTTTTAATTTTTTAAATCATATGAAACAATTCATATTTTAAACAAATCTCAAAAATTATTTTTGTAATTTACATTTTTTTTTTCCTTTTCTCTTTCTCTCTCTATGAACAAGGATGGTCAAGCCAAGTTCTATTTTTGTGGTCATTATTGTCTTGTTATATGATTATGACATATAAGACCATCTCCAACGCTTCAGCAAACGTGATATCAAATTCAAAATTTGATGAAAAAGTCACTTTTTTGAGCTCCAACCGTTTCACCAAATCGATATCAAATACAGAATTCAGCAAATCTTGTACCAAAATGAGAACATACGAAGCATTTTACCAAATCACTGTTCCTAACCGTTGGGAGAGACCAACCGGTCAACCAGCCGGTTGCCCGGCCGGTTGACCAATCGGTTGACCGCCTAAAGGTTCAAACGGTTCGAAAAAAAGGTTCAAACAGTAAATTTTTGCTCATCAATTTGCTATTTTTATAGGGTGAGACCAAAGAAATAACAAGAGATCAAAGATCGGTCAAAAAAAACATTCCAACAGTAAAAAAAAAAAAAAAAAAAAAAATTTTCGCTTAACCGGTCGACCGGCCGGTCGACCAACCGGTTGTCCCTGGCACAAATTTGATGAAAGTGCACCGTTGGAGCGAGTGGTATCAAATTGGTAAAATGAGTCATTTTTGACTCAAATTTGGTGAAAAATCTGAGTAACCGTTGGAGATGCTCTAAAATTGCGTCCTTTTCACTCAAAAGAAGTTGATAAGATTTTGACATTTTTATGTAAAACCAAAAAATTGAATGAAAAAATATCAACCAATGATTGTGAAATTTTGTTTCAAATGTTTTCACTGC